GAGTCAAGACTGAGCGTGCGGAGGCAGCAAGTGTCCCCTCTTTTCCCCAGTCTGTCTTCCCCAGTCTGTCTTCACCTGACAAAGCCTTATGTCTCCCTTTTCGGCTTTGTGATTGCTAATACACCACATCACCCGTGTCTTCTTAGCCTGCAGGAAGTGTAACAACTGTTACCTCCCACAAACCACCGAAGCCTTAAATTACAGCAGGAATGTTGACAGTGACAGATGAGAATTTTAAAAATCAAACCCAAATGTGCCCCCGTCATGGCTTAAAAGAAGGGTCGAGTTGACGTGAAAATAATTTACTTAGAAAATTTTGTGATGCACGGTAAATTAAGTCCCCATAAGCACATTTTTTCCTCCAGCAAAGTATTAGTCTACTTAATTGATTCCTGGAGTCTTCCCACTATGACTTAAAACTGTTACTGCTGGGGAGAGACTGTTATAAACTTAGGGATTGGTCCATTGGTAAAATGGAAAGTTCATTTTGAAACTGTAAAAGGGGTGGAGTGGGGAGATGAATTTGGAATCCAATGGTCTTTTCTTTCCAGCCTTGAAAGAGGGAACTAAAGAACAAGGGGAACATCACCAGTGACAGCAGCCAATGTATTTTAAATACTTATTACAAGGAAAAATTAATTCCCTAAATTGCTCTTGTAGATACAGGTTAAAAAAATGAGTCACTTTCTCCTTAAAATGCAAAACTCAGAGCAACTAATGCAGCTCAGACTTGCTGTTATCTGGCCAGGTGGAAGGTCACATCCATGGGTGAGCACCACGGGCTGGAGCTGGAGCCACCCATCCTCCTGATGTGCTAAGCACCTCGAGCATCATTTGGGAGCCTCCTTCACTCAGGGTTACTCTATAAATGTCTTATCCACCTGGAGCAGGAGTCCTGGCTGCAGAGCAACAGCCTTAGCAGATGGGGTCCATAGAAGACTTACTGATGATAGCTGAAGGGGCACCTGAGCAAACAGCCAGCAGTTGCCAGGAGCCAAGCAGGTCAATTGCTGTGCTCGGCCTCCTCTCTCCTCTTTCCCACATCCCCAAGTGTCCCAGGGCATTTGTGACCTTGAGCCAGCCCCAGTCTCCTAAAATGCTCATTTGCTCCTGTCTTACACCCAGCAACATGGTTCCTGGGCTTGAAGGTTATGGAGGACATCTCATCTGCTGAGGAGGAGAAAAGGGACTTCCAGGAAGATGGTGGAGTAGTGAACAGCAAGAAATCAGCCTCTCTGAGATTTGGAATCCAGACACTAGAATACAGTAACATGGAGAAGAGGAGGACAGTGCCTCTGAAGTGAGAAATGAGCCCACAGGGAGAGAGAAGAGAGGGACCTCAACACGGAAGAGGGAAGTGGCAAATGGTGCTTTCTCCCTGGATCCCGGCTAGAGGTTAGAGAGAGGCAGCTCAAACCTACAGGGGCACAGTGACTACAGGTGGCACCAGAGCCCTCCACAGAGAAACAGACCAGTGGAGTGGGTAGCGACACCCCAGGCTGCAGTGGCCGGTGAGTAGTGAGTGATTCTGGTGCAGACATCTCTGAGAGAGGGTGATTGGCCAGTCACCATTTTGGAAATGGGCCAGCTGGACCCGGGACTCAGAGCAGCCACAGGTTTGCTTCATCCAGGGGCTCCCAGTGTCAGGGTGAGACACAGCTGTGGGAGACACCCAAGGTCGGGGGCCAAGTTCAAGCCAGTGAAAGGCACCTGGAGTTTTGTGGGCTGCACAAGTTGGGTCCCACGCTCACAGCCAGGAATCAGGATCAGCTTGAACTTCAGTGGAGCTGAAAGCATAGGCTTGCTGGGATTATCCTTCACTCTGCCGTAATTCTACTGCAGTCTTGCTGGGATCAACCAACACGGATCTGGGCTCTGTCTGCCTCCCTCTGTCTACTGGTGACAGCAGAGAGATGCCCTGGAGTGCACATTTTTTTCCTTTGTTTTTCTCGATTGTTTGTTCTTGTTTTTATGAGTGTTAACACTTTCTAAATTTTTTGTTGGTTTGTTTGGTTCTTTTTTCTGTTTCTTCTTTCTTTCCCTCCTATTTTTTTTCATGAGTTTCCCAAAGCTTGTGTAATCTTCCTTTGTCCTTCAGCCTTTTCTTTCTCTTCTTCTATTTCTCTATTTTTTTCCTCTTACCCCTTTTAAATTTTCTCCCCGAGGGTAAAATTGCTCTATTGAAAGAATATTTACTGTATACAACTTTGTTTTGTTTTAGATTTTGTTTTATAACTACAAATCTTGTTAAAAGATTTGTACAGTTAAAGCTGACAAAAAATTACCAGTTTGTTATTTTCTAGGCTGTGCTTGATGCTATTGTTATTACTGATTGTACTACTTTAAGGTGATATAGTCCTAATCAGTTATGCTTCCATGCATGCCAAGATCAAGACTGCCTGAGGGTTATAAGTAATACTATAGGCCAGCGCCAAAGAACCAGGGGCTAGGCCAAATAGGCAGCAGCTTCTCATCCCCAATAAATTTAAAAGGTAGGATCTTGCAACAGACTCAAAAATCAAAAGCCAGTTACACCTAGAGGACATCTGTGAAAAAGTCATTTCCTAAGGAGTTCTTGATACTAGCAATAAAGCTACATACCATAAGCAACTTATGAGCATCATCGCAAAAACTAAACTAAAAAAAGAAAAAAAATGAGAAGATATGGAAGTAAGATGCAACCCCAGACTTCCAGCTCAGACAAGGCAAACCCAGGGGACAGGGAGGGGGAACAATTTGAAAGCCACCCAGCTGAACTCTCTGAAATGGTAACAGTGGAAGTAACAAAGCAGACAAATGAGGGTCTCGAAAAAAATCAAGTTAGAAATAATTTCTCAGATGACTAAAAAGATGATGAGCACAATGAAGGACATGGTTAGTGAATCTAGAGTAGATACGGTTAAAAAAAAAAAGAGGAGCTTAGGAAAATGATGGAAACCATGAATTCCTCACACAGAAAGGGCTCCCGGGCTTTATCCACAGGGAGCAGACCATGTGTCTCACCTTTGCCCCCCCAACTTCCCTCACCCCCCCAACTTCCCTCACCCCCATACACTGTCCTTGTTCCCCTTTCCTAGTATCAGGGTTGACAGAGGAGGAGGCAGCATGGCCCAGGGAACAGGAACAGTGCCTGAGAAAATGAGCCTCAGCCTCACAGTCAGCTCCCAGCTGCATCACCTTCTAGCCCCAAGTGTCACCCAAGGCAAGATATTTACCCAACCACCACCCTGTCCTCTTGGCCATAAAAGGGGAGAAGAATTGCCAGAGGGCCATGTTGGTTACTAGTGCAGATCTTGCTGGGCTCAATCCATGGTTCTGCTACTTTCTGTTCGACTTTGAGCAAGTGCCTTTGAGTCTTTGTGCTAATTAACATTCTCCATCAGTAAAATTCTACTGATAGCACTGAACTCACTGGGTTGCTGTGATAGAGAGAATAGCAATAGCCCTGGCCCAAGGTGAGCACTACAGAAGGCCCTGTGGCCCAATCTTATGAAGACAGGTGGTGGGAAGATTGATTTCTGACAATGGCAAGTCCTTAGTACATTTATATATAAACCAGGAAGATGGGGATGACTCAGTCTTTAAGCACAGGCTTTTGCCTTGCCTCACACAAAATACAAGTTGAGTTTTAAAAAGTGCCTGAGGACAAAGTCAAAGGGGTGGGGACCTGAGCAAGGTGGGAAGAACCACATTTTCCAGGCCCTGGAATGACCCTGTGGTCAGACCCCAGAGAGCCTGCCCTCCTGCCCCATCATGCTGAGATACTCACAGGGTGCAGTCAGCCAGGAACACTGAGGGCTCTACAGCCTCCCACTGGCATATTTGGTGGTGGGTCATTTAAAAATGGAGTCCGCACCAGGGAATGGCACTGAGCACCGGAGGACTCTCCTCTTCCACCTGCACACCCTCTCCCCCCACCAATCCTTAATCTATGAGGGAGGAGCTTGAGGTATGTTCACGTTTATAGCCCCATTCCTAGGAATACCAGTAACTGATCTTTAAAGTGTGTGGGCCACATGCTCTGTTAAAGGCTTCTCAGCTATTCCCAGTTAGTTCTATCAGTAATCTGAAGAGTTGGCAATTATCCTTGGACCTATTTTAAAGATGAGTAAACTGAAACTCAGATCTAGTAGTTCTCAGAGGCCACTTGGGTGAGAAGTGACCAGGCTGGGTGAGCCTAGACTCTGCCTGCACCCTGGACACTCAGCCCCCTCCACTGAGGCCACACTGCTGCTTGGGCAGGGCTTGTCTGGAACACTGCTTGGACCTTCTCACTCCGGAGTTTAGGAGACAAAATCAACACCTGTCACCTCACACCCAAGGTCTTGTAAAGTCTGGCTTCTTGCTGACCTTCCCATCCTTTCCTTTGCGGCTACCCTAGACCAAACAGAAATGTTCTTCACTCACCTTCCACTTGGCTGCTGCCCATCACAGGCGGCAGCTCCACTGCTGCTCTTTGGAATTCCCTCCATGATCCTTTCCACCCCAAACTGTAAGTACACAGCCATGTGGTTCCAGACCACAGGACTCTCCCCTAACAGCTTGCCTTCCTTGGAAAGCCAGGGGTGCTTCCTTGATTCAGCCGCCCCTTCCTCCTGTGCTACAGCCCCCACCCCATCCCCTGAGCCCTGCAGGTCTGAACCTTGGCTGGTCTGGATCTTTGTCCCTGTGCCTGGCACCTGCCTAATCCTGCTGGGATAAAGATCCTCAGAGGATGTAACAGACCCAGGGCAGGCGGGACTCCCCAGATGCCCCAGCTCCGATGTAGGAGCACTTGGGTGGGTACCACAGTCACACAGTACTGTATCCCAAAGGCTTCTTTCCCACTCTTCCCCAACATGGAGAAAAATGGGGACATTGCCACTTCTTGGCTGGCAGTGAATGACACGCTTGGCACCCAGAAACGGAAGCCAGCCCAAGTGACTGGATATAATGTGAGGACCTGGGTCTCACATGGGAAGGGGAATGGCACCACCCCCCAGTAAGGAGCAAAGCACACGGGCAGGAAACACTTTTATTCCACCCACCTCACTCTCAGAACAGGGTGCAAAGGGTAAAAGTGCATTTTTCTTAAAAACCAAAGAATTCTAAAATGGCAAGCTGGGACCTTGTGATGAGGGAAAGGTGGTTACCTCACTTGATCCCAAGCAGCCCTGTATTTGAGGAGGGTGGGGCCCTGGGGAAAGAGCTGGGACAATCCCACCTACCCTACCCAGCGCCACTTATAAGCCATAAGGTCACTTGCTGTGTGATGGCTGTCTCCCTTTCACCAGGCTGCACAGTGGGCCCAGGAAGGAATGGGCAGTAGGTGGGGCCGGGGCTGGGGATATGATTCAGGGAAGATGTTGATGGGACAGAGTCTCAGTTGGATCTGGAAGCAAGGGATGACATGGGGCAGAATGGCTGATGCAAAGGTCCTTCCAAAGCAGATGATACAGGGTGAGGGGGGTGAGTCTGTGCTGGGGACCAAGGTCCTGTATTGCTGGTGATGCAGTCGCCTTGAACACCCAAACAGTGGTGAGGAGAGCCCACCTGGGCCTCTGGGCTGGGAGTGCAGGGGACAGTGCTACCATGGAGGCCAGGTGGCTGCGTGGTCTCCGCCCTGGGTGCCCAGCAGCCTGTCCTGTGCATTTGAGAGGCTGAGGTCCTCTAGAGCTCCTGAGCTGGCTGCGCCCCTGCCTGCTCCTCCAGGGGCTGCATGGCCTCCTGCACGTAAACAATGAATTCCGAGGCCTCCCCACCCTGCGTGTACACAGTCACGGTCTCGATGCCCTCCACGTCATCAGAGGACACCACCAGGTGGTGCTGCTCGGACAGCTCCACGGAGGCTTGCTGGAGGGTCTCCTGGATCATGACTGTGTGGTTGGAGCTGGGCTCCTCTTCAGTGACCTGGGGGAGGGGAAGAGAGAGGTCACACAGGTCTCATAATAACGAAACTACAGCTCAGCTGGAGGAGTCGTAGTGCATGTCTGGAGCTCATCTGTCCCGAATATAGTCTGCTCTGTGACTGCTCTCGTGCCTATTTTATGAAGAGAGCAAGCCTCCGCAATACAAAGGAAGGAGGCCAGGGGCCATTCACTGTAGCAAACGAAACTCAAGTCCAAGCTCAAAGTCCAAGCCCTTTTCTGATGGCAAGCATCCTCCCGTGGTTTCCAGGAGGCGTAGCGGTCACTAGTAGGTAAGGGTTAGCTGGAAGATGAGGCAGGAGGGATGAAAGTTCCAGGACAGCCTAGGCAATTCAGTGAGACTCTGTCTCAAAATTTAAAAAGGGCTAGGATGACTCAGTGGTAGTGTTCCTAGGTTTGATCCACAGTACTATTTTAAAAAACACTAAGAACTATTCAGGTTACCCACTGTCACAGAGACGGGTTCCTGGAAATAGCTAGTATAGCTAGTCATTTGGTGGCAACAAAAAACTAGGCTTCTCCTGGGTCCTCTGTCTTCCCACACTCTGGGACCTCAATGCTGCATGAAGATCAACATCTTAGGAATGATCGGGCACTCACAAGATTCCCCTTTCCCAGGGTCACCCTCGACATTCAAGAAGAGCCTACTAAGGGACTCTGGCTGCCGGTCTGGGCAGGAGGACTCTGGGAAGCATCAGGTGGCAGAGGGGACCACTGGGTTTCGTGGCCAGGCCTTTCTTGGTAGCTCCAAGCTGCCAGAGTCCAGGTGAGACCATATTCCTGCTGGTGCTAAGGCCACACATTTCCCTGGTTCTGTTAGGTTGGGGGTGTTTTGAATAGCAACTTGATCTTGAGAAGAGGAATAAAAGACATAGGAATGATTTAGAAACTGTTGAGAACCTCGAACTGCAAGGATGAGGGAGAAAACAAGCCCAAGAAGGAGAGGATGAGTGCTCAGACCTGCGGGCACATCAGAGCAATGGCTTTTCCAGGGGGCCAAGTGGCAAAGGGAGAAAGCACTTGCTTTGTCCCGCACTAACCTGGGGTAACAGTCAGTCCCACCACTTCTTGGCAGTGACATATGAGCAAAACTGTGCCCACAACCCTCAGGTTTGTAGGAGCTAAAATGCCTAAGGAAGAGTGCAAGGGAATTAAAGGAGATTCTGTATGCAAAGTGGGTGTGAATAGCACCACCGCCCTTTTAACCCATTCATTCATTCCATCTATTCGTGCTGTCCTAAACCCGCTCCACCTGGAACATGCTGCGGCTTGCCAATTACTTCTTCTTTCAGTCAGTGAAACTTGTACCCCTTTTCAGCTACCACGAGACTGTGATCTCCACAAGGGCAGGGACTGTGTTTGTCTCGTCACAGCAGTTTCCCCAGAGCCGAGATCAGTGCTTGGCACTCGGTAAGCGCACTCAATACTTGTTCTGGGTGCCAGATGCTGAGAAGGGTGCTAAGGAAGCAACACAGTAGACATTACAGTCCCTGAAGGAGCTCAGAGCCTGCAGGGCAGGCACACAGCAGAGGGCACAGCTGCACTGCGGGGTATGGCAGAGCTACCGGGGGAGCTGTGGATGAGTGTCAGGTAGGAAACAGGACTTCCAGAAGACGGGGGTGGGGGTTGTTCAAGGGCAGCCACCACGAGCTCCCACTTACGATGCTTCTGACAGCTCTCCTGACTCATGAGTGACATGGGGCAGCTGCCTCCCCTTGGCCCACCCATCTGTGATGTGCCAGAGCCACACGTTCTCTGGAGAGGGCCCATGTGGCTTGCAGCATTTCATTCCAACCCTGCAATCACTCCAGTCGCTGAGAGGGAAGGCTGCTGAAGCAGGTGGGTCATGTTTAATCCAGAGAGGAAAATGGAAAAAGCACCTTTGGGTGGGCCCTAGAGCCTCTAGTGTTAGGGACTGGAAGGAAATTTGGACTGCCAGAATGCACCAGAAACTAGGGAGCTACTCCAAGTGGAAGCTATTTTAGACTTAGCCTGATTTTTTTTTTTTTTTTTTTAGTAAACCAAGAGTCTTTTTTCCTTTCTTTTACTATTCGCTCTAATTTCATTTAACTGGGAAAATATAACATGAAGCAGGACTTCAGAAGTAAATATTGATTCATTTGACTTTGACAGAGAGCTTGGCAGAAGACTGGGAAGGGGAGGGAACATGCAATGAACCTTTTCTCCTTTTAACTGTCAGTAATTCTGCATAGAGGGAGGGTGAGGGACCGGTGACTCATGTCAAGGTCCTCATGTGTGCAAATAGGCCTACCACGCTCCAGTGAGGTCAAATGACACACTTCAGACAAAAGCTGAGGCTTCAAATGAAGTATTCACTGAAAGAAACTCTCCATTGGCTTACAATTGCCATCCTTTAACAGCTTTAATAGCTCAGGTGTTGATGGGGCTAAAATCTGCAAGGCTGAGAAGCCACTCTTGTAGGGACAGAGGCTCAGCACTGCTCCCATGGTGACTCAGAGAGCATGCACCAGTCCTCAGGCCTGGCCCCAGGAGAAAGCAGGAGGTCCCGAGGTGACTAGGACCTAGCCACTGCCACCAACAAGGGGAAAACCAGCACAAGGCCAGTCAGTGTGCTCAAACTGCTTGACAGTGGGTCTGTCATTAACTTTGTCGCGTGAGACACTGGGGTAGAGGTACATTAGCCCCAAGGATGATGGTGAGAAGGTGCCGCAGGGGGAAAGAATGAGGCACGCAAAGAAGGGCAGGTGTGGGCCCAGCAGTCCCACTGCTGCTAGAACCTCCCAGTCAGCAAAGCCCCCAGCAGAGTTGTGTCTTCCCCTGTGCAGAACATCCCAAGCCATGTGACATGCTGATCCATCATCATGCTTCATCCCAGGCACTCCGCTGCTCCACCACTGGGCTGTCTGCCCTCCTTTCACAGATTCTAGGATTCCCCACTGCTCTGCTTCAGCCTCCACAGAACCTGAGGACCCTGGGGCTGTGCCCTCTGTATCTCTGTGGAGCTCTGCTCCTGACTGAGCCAGACGCCAGGCCCAACCTGGGCTCCAGGCCACTGGTCAGCGCTCACAAGAGGCGCCCGGAGCGGCTGCCACACCATGCAGGAGCTGGCTGTTCATGGTCAGGCAGAAACGGTGTGTGTGGGGGTGGGGGATGACGCCTGAAGTGAGGCCTGCAGTCAGATCTTGACGAGTCTCGGCAGCAGTGGGGAGAACAGGCCAGCACTTCACAAGGGGAGATGGCAAACGCTTTCAAAGAAGGCCCTCTTTCATCCACGCTGGTGACCAAAACCTGTCCACCCAGAGGCAGCTTACACAGACTTGTGGTTCTCACTGCCCTCAAGTATTTATGTCTGCTTGCCCACACCGCCTTTTCTAGGTATTAAGTCTTCAAGGAGAACCCTTTCTCCACCTGTTTTCTTCAGTTTCTCCAATCTCGAACACTTCCAGAACTGCTTCAGAAAGTGGAAAGACTGATGGGCGGGATAAATGTGTTCAGAGAAGGAGTATTCTGAGGGTGAGGAATGGCAATGTCTTTTGCTGTAATTAATTTTATTGAAACGTGCATCCTACTTTATCACGCCACGTAAAGGCAGGATGTGAGCATAGCACAGAGGGAGGCTGCTTCACGGAGGCTGCGGAAGGCTTTCTGCAGTGTGTCCCCTTGTGCAGCACACGCCTCGCCGTACCATCTGCTGCTGTGCACTTCCTGCAAACCGCACACTTCCTTCCTAGATTCAGCGAAGCCATGCGGTTCGCTGAACACCCGTCATCCCCTCCCAGGGCCTCATCCCAACAATCCACGCACTCCTTGTGGCTCAGGCCTTTCCGCTCCCTTCTCACTGATGGGCTCCGAAGCTACTGGGGGCCTGGTGACTCACCTGAGGCCAAGCAGCAGAGCTGGTCCTTGGCCTGGGCCTGAGCCCCGGGGGCATTCCGCAGCTGGTGCAGCGTGACAGCGGCCAAAGGTGCCACGTGTCACAGGCCGACAGGGTTGGACCAACATTCCGTATGCATCCTCCACAGACTGTGTCTCGTCACTCTCAGCTACTCTCTGTTCAAAGAACGATCACTCTGGCAGCTTAATCTATTAGCACAGGCTTACAATTATTCTCCACAGTAGAAACAAAATGGCTTTCATGGTGTCATTACCCTGAGATGGATACTCCATTTTCCCCAACTGTGGAATCGAACACGTCTTCCAGTTAAATTATTAGCAGCATAGATGGCTTTAACAGAACACCTTAACCCATGGGACTGCACCAATTATTCACTAAACCAGGCCTTGTATCCTACAGTTCTACCCGTCTCAAGTCCAGACCAGGGCCCTGTCAGAACCCCAGGCACTTGGCAGGCCGTACTGATGCTGGAGTAGCTTCCCATTGACATCCTGCCTCTTCCTGGGCTTCACCGCCCTGCTCCACTCTCCCAGCAAGCCTCGATGGAGACCCGCAGGTGCCAGGCCACCAGGCTGCCTCTGATCGCTGCACTGTCTTGCCTTTTGCTTACTCCTTGCCAGTCTTACTTCCTCTTCTTCCTCTTCCTCCTCCCCCAGGCACCCTCCCACTTCTATGGAAAGTCTATTCCTGGCAGAATAAGCCTGCTCCCTCCTGACACTCAAAGTCACAGATGTCATCCTTGCTCAGGAAGCCTTCTTTAAGGCAAGTCCCTGTGTCACCCCATGGTGCCATATGGTCCCTCATAGGCTTTAAGTGACAACTCCCCACTACACAGCAGCTTCCTGGGAGCAAGGACAGCCCTGGTGCCTCCATGCCTGGCAGAGCCCCTCTTTCAGGAGGGCATGGCAGGTGCTAGGCAGAGCTCTGGAGGCCCGGATAAAGAGCATCCAGAACAGCCAGCACTACCTTGTTTGGAATTCTGCTGACAGGACCCAGCCCAGGTGACATGAGTATGGGGAAGGTGGCACATGGTCTACAGAGGAGGATCCCCTTCACTCCAAAAGTCCTACAGGTCCACCATTATACAGGAGAGGAGCCCAGGCTCT